GTGGGGGACGTCGAACCGCAGTGACGTCAAAGTGTGGGAGACGTTGAACCGCAGTGACGTCAACACGCAGAGACGATGCGCTCGCTGCAGCCACACCGTGGTTGTCTGATGGTGAGACTTTACTTTTTTAAACGTCTTTTCTCGGGATGTTGTTCGTTCGTTAATCCTTTTCATCCCGCTCTTGGACATAAGGCCACAATGAGTTCCCTCCACTTCTTCCTGTCCTTGGCAACATGTTGAGCCTCGCCCCAAGAGAGGTTGATTGCTGTCAGCTCATCCTTCACAGCCTTGCACCACGTGGTCTTGGGTCTCCCAGGTTTTCTTTTGCCCGGTGGCGTCCATCTGAGGGCAATTTTTGGTATACGATCCCCTGGCCCATTCTGATAACATGTACGGGCTATCTGAGTCGCCGTCTCTAGATGCCTCATGAATGATATTAGGACAACTGGGTTTTCTTGTACAGTACGGTGTCGTTGATTTTGTTTGGCCAGAAGATGCAGCGGATTCGACTTAGGCGTCTGTTATGAAAGGACTCCATACCTCTCTGTGTTGGTCTTGACACGCAATCTCTCGAGCACACAACAGCACCGACTTCTCGGGACGCGTTGTCTATTATTCATACCTGTCAACCCCTTAGCGCCGACATCATTACCTACCAAGTCAGATCTTATTGGTCACCCTGTGTCCTTATAAATATCAATGTTCATCCTACAAAGTCCCATCAGAAGGGAGAAACACAAATAGAACAAAAAATTGCCCGTATTGAAATGTCTGTACAACGTATGGACATGAACGTATGGTCCACCATATGGGGCCGTCCATAAATGACGTCACGCGATTTTGGACGATTTTTGCCCCCCCCCTCCCCCCCCCTTCGTCACACGGCGTCACAAAAAGTCAGACCCGCCCTCAAATATGACGTCACAAAGCTATGCCCCCCTCCCAAAAATAAAACAGGCTTTAAATCGATTTAAACTATTATCATTGGAGTGCGTATTTAATGTGGCACTGCACTCTGATGTTGTAGAAGAAAACATTTATTTAAAAGTCTAGTTAATTAAGTAGAACGTGTTGTCTATATTTATTTTAAGTTGCGCATTTTAAAATGACGTCACATTTCTCAACCCCCCCCCGTCACACATCGTCACAAATGTCTGACCCCCTCCCCCTCCAGGTGCGTGACGTCATTATGGACGGCCCCTATGGGTTGACAGGTATGATTGTTACTCCTCGACACCTCGGTGATGACGTAGTCTCCAGGTGAACGCCCTCGGAGTGAGTCTCATCACGAGAAGCGGGTCTTCAGTCAACTTCGGGAGTGGCAAATGTGCCTTTAGGCAACAACGACCCGCGCGTATCTCTCTCACTCACTCACGAAACACATGCTAAGTGACACCACCTCCCCCTGGTGAAGTCACGCGCACCATTTTATAGACTGGGGAGACAAAGGCGGCCGGGGGCGTGGCATATAGCCACCTCCCCCCCGAGCGCCGTGTTCGGCCTTAATAGGTGATGTAACAGGATGTAATGAATCCGTGACAAATCACGTGACCAGGAATCACTTTACCAATTTAAAAAGAAATTGCATGCGAAATGTGACAGCTTGCGATCCATGCTCAAACACTATTAATAAAACAAATCGGTCAATTTCCATTTAATCGAGCGATGGATCGTTAAAAATATGTCGAGTCCCGTTCCAGTATTCCTGATATGGGCACAGATACGCCCAATTACTCCATATGTGGGCATAAAACATTACACGCAATTTATCATTCATTCTGTCATGGATTAATTTTATCCTGTTACAGCGCGACTCTCTAACAGCGCTTGCCCAACTCGAGTCTGTTAAATTCACAAGTGATGATTGTTATTCTGGCTGGGGCTAGATGGCGCGTGAGTAACAATTACAGTGAGCCATCGTGCGTCCTCCTCCACCCAAAGCGTTTAATAAAAAATTGTCACGTGAACAAACGCACCAAGACGTGATTGCTTCAGCACCACCAGAGCACTGGGCAACCGAAAAGACTGACACCGTTGAAGAGACATTGAATATTCTTGGTTCTTTCGGTAAAGTCACGTAGAAGGGAAATAATAAAATTATAAAAAATTAAACATAATAAAAATTCTCACGACGTTTCGATTGCAACACAAGCAATCATCAGGTGTAAAAACTACAGCAAGAAAATTTTAACTGAAGTGGGAAATATGCTGTGGTAAGGGGTTATATAGGTTAGAGAGGGGGGAGGAGCAAGAGAGGGGGGGAGGAGGGGAGGGGAGCATTGCGTGGAATGCTACTGGACGGGGGGGGGGGGGGGAATGGGCGGGGCTAGAAAGGTGCAGAAAACCAATGCCACTGCAGCAAAGCCAATGAAAGACAACAAAGCAACACTAGCAGACGTTGGAGAAGTACAAAAAAGCCAACACCACTACAGTAAAGCCAATGAAACACAACAAAGCAACAGTAGCAGTACTGCCAAACGCTGGGTATGCAAATAACTCGGCAGAATAGACTAGTGCCCAGTTAATATGATGGAACAACCATAGACAGTTCACGTTTTACCTGGTTAATAACATCCTTCCATTGATTGCTCAAATTGTATCCATCTTCTCGGTTTAAGTTATGTCTATGTTTATGTATCTGGATGGCTTCATGGACAAACCTTTGAAAGTAGCCAGAAGGTTTGCAGAGCACCTTAGTCTCATTACGCTATTATACTATTTATTATACAATCTACTATACACCATACCATTGACCGCCGCGTGAAAGGTACTAAGGAGGAAACAAAGAAATATGTCAATGAGAGTGGTAGCGGGAAACGTCGTGAGAATGTTTATTATGTTTTCTTTTTTATTATTTTATTATTTCCCTTTTACGTGACTTTACTGAAAGAACCAAGCATATGAATCCCTGCAGTCACGAAAGCTTTAAATTGAGACATTGAATGTTGAAAACCGATGCAGTGTGCTGGCGGGAACCACTGGTGTGCTGAAAAGCAACCAAAAACACCCTAAAGACTGGCACCGCTGATGAGACACTGAATTTTGAAACTGATTCAGTGCGCTGTACATGTTCATAATATTTTTTACTGATTGCCCGTGTCTGGTGGTGGAGGGTTGCAACACATTTATACTTATGCAATCTAACCCAAAAGCCTTTATTTTAAATAATACTGGTCACGAAAGCCTACGTGTTAAACCTCTGTACATATGTAGTGACACAGAATTAGCTATGTAGCAGCATAGTGCTGGCTGCTTGCGGGGAAGGGCATCTGCAGCTTACAGCAGCCCTGACAGCAGCAGGCCAGGTGATACACCAGAGGGAGATCTAGGGGAAAGGTCACGGAAGGAGCACACCAGAAACCCGCGGGTAGGTTCTAGACAGGGGGCGTGGCCGGGGGTGGAGCCAGACCACGATGGCAGGAAAAGAGGGACCCCTGGAGTGGGATCCCTGTCCTGCAGCTAGAGTCTTCACCGTTCTTCTCATCGTCTCCGTCTTCACCATCTCGGCGTCGCCAGTCAGGCAGTCTACCAACTGTCCTGACTGGGAGCCGTAGTCGACTATAGACCGATTTATTGGTTGGTGCGTGTTAATAAACAAAGTGCCTCCAACTCTTAGTGTCTCCGATTCAGTCACTACACATGTGTTGTGTAGTAACTCTGGACACCCAGGAGACTTGTAGAGGAAGACGGAGATGAGGATTCTTACATAGGGCTGCTTGCCGTTTATTCACACACTTGCACACTCTTATACACTGTTTACACTCTCTATACTCGACGCTTAGACACGTCAGAACTCTGTCCTTTACGTGGACATCCCTCAGCTATCTACGCCCCAGTATGGCTTCCCTTATGCCTACCCCCTCGTCTGCCCCAGGCGGGGGCTCGTCCATCACCGCCCGGCAATGAGGTGAGGCCTCTACATCACGAGCCCATCTTCGGCGGCGGCTGAGATGTCTTCCACGCAGGCTCTCGTTCCCATCTTCTCTCTCCCCATGGCGACCACCTCACTCTCCCCACAGCGACCCCGCCCTCGTCCCGGGGTCCCCCTTAAGTACCCCGCTGCCTCGATGACATGACATCATCACAGCACGTCATCCCAATCCTCTACAGATGACATGGCGTCATCCCACTACTCCTCTACATCACCCTCCCCGTGAAGAAAAATCAGCCGTCTCGGCTGTCAACGTCACATTATATAATCACAAAAAAAACTTAGACAACCCCTACGATAAGCGGCAAAAACGTCACAAACAACAGCACACTATAACACTAAACCCACATGCTGACATCGCAATAGCCACAACATAACATTGTAACACCGCCAACAACCTAAAAATGCAATAAAACAAAGAGGGAATGAATGTCAGTGAGGAACATAATACTTGACGGCCGACGTCAAAAAGTCCCTCGAAGCAATGTCCCGCCGTGCCCGTCACACCAACGAGGCGGCCTGCTCCCCCCCGCAAGCAGCAGGCCCATCGCGCATTGGTGGTGCGCTCTCATTCGTGCCGGCTCACCCCACCAGCACGAAGCAGGCGGCTCCCCAGGCTCCAGACGTCGGAGCCCACCTCTACAATGGCGGGGAGGGAAGCATACCCCGCTCGCAGTCGCCGGGTTCCAGCGGCGGCAATGGCGGCTGACGGCCACGTCGCAGCCGCGTGCAAAACGGCGGGAACACCGCCGCCGTGAAAATGGCGGGAACACCCGCACCCGCGGGGATGGCGGGAACCGCCGCAGCCGCGGAAATTACGGGAGCACCACAGCCGCAGAAAATGGTGGGAACGCCTACAGCCGCGGAGATGGCGGGAGCCGCCGCAGCAACCCAACGGTGGCCACGTCCCCCCGTAGCTCCGCCGTCCACCCACCAACTCCCAGCCGTTCCATCGACGCCAGCAACTGGTCGAGCCGGCCAGGGACGTCGCCCCAGCTCGCCGTCGATGGCGGACAGTCGGGGCCCGCAGCCTCCTGCGCAGGCTGCATTCGCACCCCGGGGCACATCACCGGGCCCCGGACTCCGGGGTCGTCGCGGGGAGAGCTTTGGTGCAGCCCTTGCCGTCCATCCGCTCCTCCGGTTGGGTCTTGCACTCCGCTACCGGCTTTTACACCATGCCAGCGGAAGGTGCCAACTTCCTTGAATTTAAGCGGCGAAGGTTCGATGGCCACTTCCGACACCAAATGTTGTGTCGTACCTCTTGACTCCCAGGAGACTTGTAGAGGAAGACGGAGACGAGGATTCTTACCGAGGGCTGCTTGCCGTTTATTCACACTCTTGAACACTCTTATACACTGTTTACACTCTCTATACTCGACGCTTAGACACGTCAGAACTCTGTCCTTTACGCGGACATCCCTCAGCTATCTACGCCCCGGTACGGCTTCCCTTATGCCTACCCCCTCGTCTGCCCCAGGCGGGGGCTCACCCATCACCGCCTGCTGACGAGGTGAGGCCTCTACATCACGAGCCCTTCTTCGGTGGCGGCTGAGATGTCTTCCACGCAGGCTCTCATTCCCATCTTCTCTCTCCCAACGGCGACCACCTCATTCTGAGGTAAGTGGGTGGAGACAACAAACCTATATTTATTTGGCTTTGTCGGGTGGCGGAGGATGCACGACATCATTTGGCATTGTGCTCACGTGATGTGATGCGAAAAAATGTAAATTCGATTACGCATCGCAATGCTCGAAATTAGCACGCGTTCTTAACTCTTTGGAAACGTTCCCAATGGGGCTTCTGGGCGGGTATTGGCCACCACCACGACCACCCCCCGTATGGGACCCTCTCCGGCCGGCAAGCACGGCCCTCCTCCCCGCACACGGCCCGCGTGTTTGTGCTGCGTGTGCAACGCGGGGGTGGAGGCTGCCGAGATGAGCGCTTTGATTTTTATCTCGGCCCGTGAAGGTCGTGGTCGCTCCTATCTCTCCGAGCAAATATTGACCGCATTTTTTAAATAAGTAAAAAAAACGATTGGCAACAAAAAAAATAGGGTTTTTTTTTTGGGGGGGGGGGGGGGCGCAAATAAGGCAAACTGCCATTGGACATGAATGGAGAATGATGATGATGATGGTATGAAGGAAAATGATGATGTTCTTTGAGCACCGTCAGTAGCCAACCGTGCTAATCGGAGGAGCGGGGGAATAATGATGGTAGGGAAATGACGATGGTGATAAAGAAATCATGGTGATGATTATTGAGCATTGGTCCAACAAAAGACCGACACTGCTGATGAAACCGCTGAAATTCGAAACCGATTCTGTTTTGCTTCTGTTGAGCCAATGCCGCTTAAAGAACACTCTTGGGAGGAATGCAGGTTTGCCTGATGGGATGTGTAAACACAGTGTGATGGTGGTGGTTGTTGAACATGGTGTGGTGGTGGTGGTAGTGCTGGTTGAACACGGTGGGGTGGTGGTGATGATATTTGAACACAGAGTGGTGGTGGTTGAATTCGGTGTGGTAGTGGTTGGTCATGGTTGAACACGGTGTGGTGATGGTGTTTGGTGATGGTCGTGGTGGTAGTTGAACACGATTTTAGTGGTGGTGGTTGAACACGGTGTGGTGGTGATGGTGGTGGTTGAACACAGTGTGGTGGTGATGGTGATAGTGGAACACGGTGTGGTAGTGGTGGTGGTTTGTTGTGTTAGTTGAACACAGTGTGGTGGTGGTGGTGGTGGTTGAACACGGTGTGGTGGTGCTGGTGGTGGTGTTAAACAATTTGTGGTGGTGGTGCTGGTGGAGGTGTTAGTTGAACAATTTGTGGTGGTGGTGGTGTTAGTTGAACACAGTGTGGTGATGGTGGAGGTTGAACACGGTGTGGTGGTGGTGGTGGTAGTGGTTATGGTGGTAGTTGAACACTTTTTGGTGGTGGTGGTTGGACACAGTGTGGTGGTGTTAGTTGAGCACGGTGTGGTGGTGGTTGAACACTGTGTGGTGGTGGTAGTTGAACACTGTGTGGTGCTGGTGTTGGTGTTAGTTGAACACTTTGTGGTGGTCGTGGTGGTAGTTGAATACGGTGTGGTGGTGGTGGTGGTTGAACACGGTGAGGTGGTGGTGCTGGTGGTGGTTTTAGTTGAACACTTTGTGGTGGTGGTAGTTGAACACGGTGTGGTTGTGGTTGAACAGGGTGTGGTGGTTGTGGAAGTGGTGATAGTTGAACACAGTGTGGTGGTGGTGGTGGTTGAACACGGTGTTTTGGTGGTAGTGGTTGAACACGGTGTGGTGGTGGTTGTTGAATACGGTGGTGGTCGTGGTGGTTGAACACGCTGTGGTGGTGGTTGTTGAACACAGTGTGGTGGTTGAACACAGTGTGGTGGTGGTTGAACGTGGAGTGGTGGTGGTTGAACGTGGTGTGGTGGTGGTTGTGGTGGTTGTGGTGTTGGTTGAACGTGGTGGTGTGGTGGTTGAACGTGGTGTGGTGGTGGTTGTGGTTGAACACGGTGTTGTCGTGGCGATGGTTGAACACGGTGTGGTGGTGGTGGTTGAACACGGTGTGGTGGTGTTGGTTGAACACGCTGTGGTGGTGGTTGTGATGGTGATTGTGGTGGTGGTTGAACGTGGTGTGGTGGTGGTTGAACGTGGTGTGGTGGTGGTTGTGGTGGTTGTGGTGTTGGTTGAACGTGGTGGTGTGGTGGTTGAACGTGGTGTGGTGGTGGTTGTGGTGGTTGTGGTGTTGGTTGAACGTGGTGGTGTGGTGGTGGTGGTTGATCACGGTGTAACGGATGAGATGACACAATCGGCTTTTCGTGGAACCGACTTCTCCGAGTGCTTCTAATTTTTGGACAAGTTACAAAAAGCATTAAAAAAATTCCTCGACATCACCGATGAGAATGTCTCACAAAAACCAGGAATGACCGAGGGCTCATCCATCAGTGTCCCCTCCCCGTGTTCCACCCCTCTTTGTATCCCCTCCCACCCCCCTCAACACGCCCGCCTCCCTTGACAATAAGACCTCACTGAGCGCCGCACGGCGGGTCTGAGACCTGGGGAACTCGGAATCATCGCCGCCTCGCCGTCGCCACCACCACCACCTCCTCCTCCACACGCGATCATGTCGCGGCTGCTGCTGCTTTGCGTCCTTTCCGCGTTGCTCGCTTCGTCTCTGCAGGAGGGCCTCAATGGACGGGTGAGTTCCCTCAGACACTCACCACCCCACACGATTTAGCCCCTGTTCTTGTACAGGGAAATGTAGTTTCCAGGTCCGAACGGCGAACAGCCGTTTCAATACGGGAACAAAAATGATTTTCTATTTGTTTGTGTTTCTCCCTTGTGATGGGACTTTGTAGGATGATCGTTGAGATTTATACGTGCACGGGGCACAAATAAGGTCTGAATTGGTCCTTAATAAAGTAGGCCCCTGATTCCAGGTTGACAGCTCCACCACCCACGGTCACCCACCGCACGTCACCCAGCGTGTTGTACCTTTGCTGATCTCGTCAAGGAACAATGTAAATCATCGTTAACTCGACCCCCGGTCGTCATCATCGCAGCAGCAGCGGCAGCTTCTGGCTCGCCATCGAAACAAAAACGGCCACCGCATCGTCACGCGGCGCTTTCGGATGCGCTTCTGCGGCCGTCTGGAATGCTCTTCCTTTCAGATATGAGCAAGCCACTGCGAGCAACTCACTTTTAAATCATCTAGATTGAAAACTAATTTAATTAAACTGCTTTTTGTGTTTAGTGTATTGTTCTCCCCGTCTCACCTCCAATGAGCACAGTTGGCTATGTACGGTGTAAAAGAAATTCAACACACAGATTATAATCTAAACTAAAAAAAAAAATTTTTTACTTTACCAGCTCAGGCCCACTGAGTTGTATTTATATTTTTTTCTGAAGCGACCTGCCCACAAATGATAGCTCGACAAAGAGCGTTATCATCATCATGTGGACATTGAGAGCAGCAGCCAAAGACTCGGTCTAAACGTGTGACGTGGATTCATAATGTGGAGGGGGGAAAAACGGAGAAACCGGTGAGAGAGAGAGAGAGACACTCACAAACTCCAAATACACAGCAGCAGCAGCAGGCGTCAGGGTCGAGATCGAACCCACGACCTCCTTCACACCGGGTGAGGGAGTTCACATCTCCGAGCCACCGCGACCAAACGTCCACGCTCACGCCTGCGCGACCCAGACGAGTGACGCTGCAGTTCAGAGGAATTGGCTTCTGCAATAACATTTCAACGTGATGGTGATGATGACCAGGGGGGGTGAGAAATGTGACGTCACGTCAAAATGCGCAACTTTAAATAAAGATCATGATTTGAAGCTTTCGTGACTGCAGGAATCCATACTCTCTGGTTCTTTCGGTAAAGTCACGTTGGTAGAAAATAAAAGAAAACAAGAAAAAAAAATAAGTATAAACAACACGTTCTACTTAAATAAATATTATTGTTATAGCAACACAAATTTTGATTAATTTTCATTATTAAGTCTTGACTTAAAGCTTTCGTGACTGCAGGAATTCATATTATTGGGTTTATCGGTAAAGTCACGTAGATAGGTTCAAATAAAATAACAAAACAAAGGAGAAAATGATGACGACCGCTTGTGTTGCGATCGAAACGTCGTAGTTTTTTGTCATGTTTTGTTATTTTCCTTGAACCTATCTATTTGGCTTCACAGAAAGACCCAAGAATATTTCATTATTATTTTTTTGATTATTTAAATGTATTAAGGTAACCTTTTATTTATAGTATAGATTATATTATGTTAAACATAAGAACCGGAATTCAAACTACATCACACTTTTATAGAGAATAATACTTCGTCAGGAGGAGGAAGTGAAAATAAAATTGTAATGCAATCGTTACATTAAAAACGCTAGATAGTTTCGAATAAGAATTTTAAAAACGTAAGTACTATCATTCCTGTCATATCAATCGACATAATTTTTCATCACACGCATTTGTGTATTAAATATACATTTTTTTATATCAGTATTACATTTTTATACTATTATGTTACAATAACATTTATAATAATATAGAGAGACAAGTTTTTGGGTACAAAATATCAAACAGCCATTTTTGAGCATGGTGGGGTAATGAATCATGGAGTAGCTACTAAATAGACGTCATTCGGCAAGCGTACAATAGCCAACGCGTCCTCCATGATTCATTATTCCTCCATTACATTTTAGTTCTTTGTACCCAGACAATGGCATCATGCTTCTTTTCGCCATTGTCCGACTATGAACCATGAGTGACTGCATTTAACCATTTAGGATATTTTATTTAACTACGGAGTTCCCTTATGGAAATGAAAAAAGAAATTTCACCGCTCACGATTCAGTATATCGTGTGCATGATTTAGCATTGATTTGAAGCTTTCTCGCTACATTTCCTCCTCAGCAGTCCGACTGCTGTATGTCATTTTTTTCACCTGAAGACGATGGCTTGTGTTGCTATCGAAACGTCGTGATTTATTAGTTAGTTTTTCTATCTACGTGACTTTACCGAAAGAACCAAAGAGTATGCATTCCTGCAGTCACGAAAGCTTCCAATCCAGATCGAACCGCCTCTACGGAGAGGATTTCCACATAACTCAGACATGACATCAACCGAGAAGATGGATGTAAAATGTAGCAATCTTTGGAAGGACGTTGATCAACCTGGTATAGTGTTAACCGTTGTGTTGGCCGACTCTCTCAGTTGCATTACATTTCTAAGTTTGCTAAGTTTTGATATGTTTTTCTTTTCTCTCTATCACCTTTTTCCCTCTGTAAATTTCACCCCAACCCTCCCGCCCGTTGCGACAGCTCCCCCCTCCTCGGATTAGCCGACACTCACCCCTACCCTCTCTGCGATTACATTTACTTGCAAATTCCATCCCTAGTCCCGCCCACTTACCCTTAGGTTGTACCCACCACCGAAAGAACCAAAGAGTACGATTTAGTATTTTACGCGCAAAAAATTGTTTCATTGTGCGCACGAACTAACCATTCGCACAAATAAAATAAATTGCGCTTATAATTGAAATTTAGTTTTTTGACATGTTTCTATAAAGGTGCTCCGTACTAGCTCATTTTATTTTTTTACAAACTTCGTATCAGTGTAAGTTTGAGTTAATTGAGTAATCATAGTAATCAAATAATCATAGAATAGCTAATCAAATAATTCATTAATTTAACGTTATCTATTTAAAATATTCAGGCTGGTCATTACTTTCAACTCAAATCATAATTAAAATATGCAACATTTATAAAATTGAATAATGAAAGTTTATATTACACCAATAAAATAAAATACAATTTTTTTAAAACGAACTGACTGCTACGATGGATACAAATAAAAGTGTACCGGTGTCTTTTTGACGCGTGCGTGCAAAAGGCAGAAAGGTTTACCAAGAAGAACTGGTTCAAAAGTGGAATTAAATAATAAAAAAATGGATACAGATTTGCAAGTAAAAGTTGGAAGAATTTAAGGCGATTCCACCACGCGAAAAGGATAACTTTTTACGTTTTGGGCTAAACAAACATTATCTGCCGATAAAAAAAAACCAAAAATGTGCCTGCCGAAATACCTCAGAATTCTGTATCGCAGTCTGATCGACAAGTGACCGATGCTCAGGCTGACGATTCAGTGCCTAGTAGTAGCAATTCAGCAACATCAAGAATTGCTACAGCCCAGCTGCATTTGCAGTCACAGATTGACATTCTGAATTCTGATCTGGTCGGCTTGTACGAACGCCAAAAACGTGGAATGTTTACACAGCAACAGGATGTAGAACTGACAGAGAAGAAGAAAAAACTTAATTGGAAAACCAGTTGAAGAAGAAAAAGGGTGATCAAAAAAGAGCACAAAAACCAGTAAATGAGAAGAAAATAAAATTAAAAGTTCTGTTTGAAGATAATCAAGACCTACGCACATCTCTGATCGCCAGGGCCAAGCCTGCTAGGCCGAAAATTGAGGAAGATCAGCCTAAATTACTGGAAGCTATTATGGATATTGCTATGCATGGATTGGCATCACATGAAAGAAGGCAGAGCGATGTGTACAGAAGCATAAAAACATTAGATCAGCTGAAGATGGATAGCTTGACAATCAGTAGAAGTGGGCTTTACCTTCGGCTTTTGCCGAAGTGCAGGTCATCTCTTGAAGAGCAGCATCATATGTCAACGGTCCCTGTGAAACTCACTCGAGCACAGAACGATCACCATGCCAAACATATTGATGGTTTGTTTTGTACGGCAACAATAAGGTACTTGAAAGAGTTGGCGTCCATGCTAGGACTGAACGATGTGTGCTTTGTGAGTCAAGACGACAAAGCTCGTGTTCCAATAGGGTTGGCCGCTGCTAACAAGCAAAGTCCATTGCTGATGCACGTCGAGTACAGAGTCAGTATGCCTGACCATGGCTGGGTTGTGGCCGCAGGACACAAGCTAATTCCTTCGGTCTATGCCGGAATCCAAATTCAGTCTAATGGTCTTGGAAACCGAGAAGCTGTTGGTTATTTGGGACCGACCTACATAGCAATCAGATCTAGTAAACACTCGTCATCAACAGCATTCAGCCATTGATTTGATTAAAAAAATTGCTTACTCTCGAGGAGTTTGACGTCATTACAAGGAGTGGTATTGATCGATAAGTCAAACTAATTTTAGTGTCGAAAGTTGATGGTGGCCCGGACGAGACATCCACCACTTTCTTCAGCACGATTTCGATGCTTTATTCCTCGCTACCAACGCTACAGGAAGAAGCGCATTTAATAGGGTTGAGAGAAAAATGGCGCCACTCAATAAGGAACCTATTGGATTGATGTTACCACATTACCGCTACGGTAGTCATTTAAACGAAAGAGGGTTTACCATCGATGCTGCTTTTTAGAAGAAGAATTTTAAGTTTGCAGGAAACACTTTAGCCGAAATTTGGTCACAGTTGATTGTCGATAATTTTCCGACAGTTGCTGAATACATCGAGCCAACAGAGTCTGAGCTCCAGGAACAAAACCTCTTGTCCAGATTATCATAAATGGTACGAAGTCCACGTACGAACAAGCCAATACTTGACACATATTGTAAAATGCACCGACAACAAGTGCTGTTTGAAACCAAGAAGCTCCTGTTTTAGTGTGGTAACAGACATATTTCTTCCTCCTCCTTTACCAGTTGTTCAAACAAGTGAAGGT